GTGGCAGAAGTTCTACAAAGTGCCTTGAACTTCTCAGGTGAAAGGCACTATAAAAACATTAAAAAGTAAATAAATCAGGAATTGTATCTATTCCTTTTATGAGAAGAAAACACACAGAACAAGATGTAAATGGGCTTACCCAAACTTCTGTGACGTAATAATATACAATCCAAGTGAGGGAAACAGTGCAGAATTTAATTCTTAATTGACATACCATAAAAATTTATCATACTTATACAAGTCTTGGCCTCTTTCACGTAACACAGTGTACACAGACAGCCCTGGCTGGTGTGTCTCAGTGCATTAGGCACTGGCCTGTGAACCAAAGGGTTACTGGTTCAATTCCCAGTCAGGGCACATGTCTGGGTTTCAGGACACATCCCCACTAGAGGACGCACAAGAGGCAATCACACATTGATGTTTCTCTCCCTTCTTTCTCCCTCCCTTTCTCTCTCTAAAAATAAATAAAATCTTTAAAAAATATTGTACACAATCAACATTATCTGAATATTATAAATTAATGTTTCCCTTTTAAAAGCAGGTTTCAAGAGCAGATAAATCCTATGTAAATTAACTTCCCAACAGTTTTATTATAAAAATTTCCAAAAACACATCAAAACTAAAAAAATTTTACCATGAACACTTGTATCCCCACTACCTAGACTACCTGAACACTTTAATGACTTCCTCAGTCAAACTATGTTTTATTTTTAATACAGGGATTACAGAGAAATCACAGGCTGAACTACTGTCAGAAAAATCAGTGGCTCCAAAAAATAGGTCAAGGAAATAAATAATATTAGGAAACACTGATATTTTTGTCAGAAATGATCAGTATTAGCTCCTTATTTAAAGTCAGGTGTATCCCTATACTCTTGGTGAACGACTCCAGCCATTTATTTGTTTAATGCCAGATAATAATATTCACCTGCTGAGAGAAAAAATTCTAATTTCTCATCTCAGAACAAACCCAACAAACTTCCCACATCTTGAAGGCCCTACATGACCTGGTCCCTGCCGACCTCTCCAATTTCATTTTATCTCCCACTTTTCACTCTACTCTAAACCAATGTCACCCACTGTTTATGTTCTACTCTTTCTCTTCGCTTGAATATTAAGCTACTACATAAATATGCTTCAACATATTTACTTTACCCACCCTCTTAAGGGGGAAAAAAAAATTTAGCCCTGGCAGGGCAGCTCAGGTTGTTGGAGCATCATCCTGAACACCAAAAAGCTGGGGGTTCAATCCTGATAGGGGTACCTATGGGAGAAAATGGATGGATGTTTCCTTCTCATATCAATGCCCCTCCCAATCAAACACATCAAGTTAGAACTTTTTTAAATGGGAAAAAAATCAAGCTCAATTTGGTACAAACTACAAACTGGCTGCAACAGAGTGTTTCTTGGGTTTTTTTCTTTTTTAGTACTTTATTTATTTTTAGAGGGGAAACAAAGGAGAAAGACAGGGAGAGAAACATCAAATGAATCGGTTGCCCGAATGGGGACCTGGCCAGCAACCCAGGCATGTGCCCTGACCAGGAATTGAACTGGCAACCTGTTGGTTTGCACACCAGCCAGGGCTCATATTTTGATGATTATTAACTATAAAATGTATTAAGAATCATCTGGATGAAGCACCAATAAACTCAGACCAACAAGCACAATGAGCAGCTTCAATGCCTATCTGATTTTCAGTCACATGACTACCACAATTAAAAGTATACAGGCCTTCACTTATCACTTCAGCCCCACAGATAAAAATGAGTCACTGGAAATAAAAATACTTGAAAGAGGAACTTTACAGTAATTCCTACTCTTTTTGAAAACTTTAATTTATTAATCTCACAAGTACTTAAGAGTGAGCATGGCCCCAAAGAACAGTATAATTAAGACACATCACCACAAGTTTAAAATTTAGTTTCATTAATGGGTATGTACAGACAAACCGAGTTCCACTGGCCATGGGAATAAAGGGATAAATCAAGTGGCAAGGTAAAACAAAATACTTAAGGACCTTTTAAAACTACAAATATGTGATTAAAATCCAGCAATTATGTATCATTTATCATTATCCATAAGGCAATTAAACCCAAGGTGCTGTCTACAGAAGCCCAGCAAGCCCGAATCAGTTCCCTTAAAACCTGAAATATGCCCTGGCTGGTGTAGCTCAGTGGATTGAGCACGGGCCTGAGAAACAAAGGGTCACCAGTTCGATTCTCAGTCAGGGTACATGCCTGGGTTGCAGGTCAGGTCCCTAGTAGGAGACACATGAGAGGCAACCACATACTGATGTTTCTCTCTCACTCTTTTTCCTTCCCTTTCCCTAAAAATAAGTAAATAAAATATTTTTAAAAATTTGAAATATAACTCTTTCTTTTGACTCAATTAACATAAACCTCACAGCTCTAGGACAAATAAGTCCCAAAGTAGCAACCCACTTCCTCCTCCTGTCACAGCCTGGACTCCACCCCACAGACAGGAAACACCTGAAGATCTACCTGTTTTCACTGGCCTAATAACTTACAACCCCGTATGACCAGGATAACCTTTTAAAAGGAGTTAACTGACAAGAAAGGAATCAGTACTCCAACATAACCACTACCATACGAAGAACTATTTACACGATATACATAGTTTCTCCCCATCCTACCTCAAATCAATAGTCAAAAGAGCCCGAGTTACCTAATAACATCTTAGCCTGACTGAATAATTGTTAGATTTGGAGCAGGGGAGTCTCAGATCCCTGTGGAAGAAGATGGCCCCTCAAAAGACCCAAAACTTAAAGCCAAGATTAGGTGAGGCAGGGACCCTGTACATGCACTTGTTTATTCCAATCAACTGCTTCAGGACCACCCAGTTACAGAGGACAGTGCTTTAGCCAAAAAACAGAAAGTTGTTTGGAAAATGAATTTTTCAGATTTCCCCAATACATATAACATCAGCAGTAATAAAAGGATATATAAAAAGAAAACACTGGAATAAGCTCTAAGTCCTGAACTTTAGCTGATTTTTAGCAACCAGTTTGGGAGCACATGGAGATTGCCTCATAGAGAAGAACTGTGGCCTGCACCTGACTAGACACATGACTTGAGGTAGTTGTCTTTGAGACTCAATTTCCTCATCTGCAAATGAGGTTGGGACTCCATAAATCCTGAAGATTCCTTTCACTCCTACAATTCTGGATCTGGATTCTGGAAAAAGTCGGTGGATTCCTGCTCTCTTCTTCCCTCCACTACAGATTTTTGAGAACAGAGGCTATAAATCTGGGTTAGACTTTGACTCAAATCAAGTTCCATCTTACATATTTTATGTCCCCAAGAACCACCAGCGCTCTGCAAAAGTAAATGGAACTCCTCTCAACACAATTTACCAAAAGAGATCCTTCAATAAACTACTCTCTACAATGAAGAACTAGTCTTGTATATTCAGCCCAAACAATGTTAACTTGTGCCAAATAAAACAATTATTTGTAGCAATTTAGCCATGTCTGTAAGTGATAATCACACAACTGTACATACATACACATTACACATCTGGGTATGTGGCACTAAGTGGCTGAAAACTGTTCACCATGTAGAACATTGAAGGATTTTTTTTAAAGTATGATTTTTCCCTTTCAGGCCTGGCAGGGAGAAATACAATCTGATCACACACCTGCAAGTTCCCTCAAAAGAGTGTCAAACACACACAAAACAAGTCACCAAGAGAGGTTAAAATTTTAAATCAGGAACATTAAAAAAACACAAGTAGAACCAACTCTGAGGTTCAAAGAATGACAATTTCCAACCATAAACTACTAAATATGATTCTGACCAAATCAGTTTGAGTGCAAAAACAGTGCTATTTAATGAAGACAATTTATAACTGGGTCCGTTCGGTAACTGAGGACAGATGTTTAGGTGATTCCTAATCAAGGTAGTAAACTTGGACTAAACAAAACTGCAAATTAATGCTATTTTGAGGAAACATAGTTTTAAGTTATTTAAATCATGAAAAGTGTCTAATGGCTAATTTTGTTCTTTGCAATACCGAAGAATCATCCTAACCCCTAAGGTTTCAGTACTACCTTCTACTTACACAACTTCTAAAAATATACTGCGTGAAGAAAATTATACCCAAACCATACCTGGACTTCACCCAGTCGGCGGCGATTAACGTTTCACATTAAATGTAAAAGCCAAAATGGAGTTGTAAAGAGTTTCTTTACCGTTTCAACTCCGATAGCCACGCGCGCTTCGCAGCGGCCGGCTGCACCGCCGGCCCGGAGCCTCCGCCCTGCCGGGCTCGGAGAGAGGAAGCGCCGGGGACCGCCGGCGGGCAGCTTGGGCTCCACCAGGCCTGGCCGGGCGGGGGAAGGGGCGCGGGAGGCCGCGGGGCGCGCTTCCGGGGACTGAGCGGGCGGGGCCGCTTCGGGGAAAGGGGCCGGGGCCCGGGTCAGGGGCCGGGTCCTGGGTCCTGGGTCCTGAGTCCAGGGTCGACCAGCCTAGAGCAGCAGGTGGGGCGCGGCCGCGGCGGGGCGGCTGGCGGGCGGAAGAGTGCCGGGCGGGCGGGCCCGGGTCGCCGCGGCGCCCGGAGGAAACCCTCTCACTCACCTCAGGCAACGGGTCCGACTCTGGCCTCTCTGCGCCGAGTACTCTCGTCCGCGAGTCACGAACTCGGAGACTAGGGCGGGTGTCCGAGGAGACGGCGGCGGACTAGCTAGAGAACCGACGGAGGACGGCGGGCGGCGGACGGCGGGCGGCAGGCAGCGGGCGGGGAGCGCGAGCGAGCGAGGGCGGGCGGTGGCGGGAGGGCGGGGAGCGACGTGCGCGCCCCCGTCAGCCCAACGGGCTCGAGCTAGCTCCAGTCGCGGCCCCGCGCACGCGCGCGAACTCACAGCTCCGCCACGATTGCTCAGGAGTGAGGCCACGCCTTAAAAGCAGGACGCTTAACCAATAGTTGCAGCCTCGTGAGGCATCACGGGAACTCAGGGGCTATAAAAGACCTGGTTGCTATTTTGTACTCCACGAGTCACTCAGCCTTTAAGTAGGTAGGGTGGGGCCAGCTGCGCGTGCGCAGTTTTCATACTCCTCCCAAACTGCCAACTCTTCGCGCAGGCGAGTTAGGCTCGTTTTCCCTGTGTTTACGCGTGCGCCGTAACGGGCTTGCCCCGGAAGACCAGACGCCTTCGCGGCGGGGACTGTGGTGACAGTCCTCCGGGTAGGGCGCGGGCCAGTCATGGCGGAGTCTTGGACTGGGCAGTCCTTGCAGACTCTGCCGGCCACGGTGCTGGGGGCTCTGGGCGCCCTGGGTAGCGAGTTCCTGCGGGAGTGGGAGGCGCAGGACATGCGTGTGACCCTCTTCAAGCTGCTGTTGCTGTGGTTGGTGTTAAGTCTCCTGGGCATCCAGCTGGCTTGGGGGTTCTACGGGAGCACGGTGACCGGGCTGTATCACCGCCCAGGTGAGGCTCCCCACCAACCTCCGTGGACTGGCTGCCTCCAGGCCCACTGGACTATATCATTGGGCTCCCCAGGACCCCCTTAGACCACCACTGGTCTCCTAAGAACCGTATCGCAACTTAAAGCTGTACTGTGACCCATGCCAACATACCATTTCACTCAAACTTCACCAGTCCACCCATAACATTATAACTCTCCTTTCGAACCCTCATCAGACAAAACCACTAGTTCCTTAGGTCCCCCGTCAGACTCTCTACCAAATGCCACTAGCCTCTAACCTGATCTGGGCTGCTGCCTGCTCAGATCCCCAACCCAGCCTGCTGCAGCTCTGGATGTGTTCCTGCCCCCAGGTCTGGGCGGCCAGAACGGATCTACACCTGATGGCTCCACGCATTTCCCTTCGTGGTGAGTAAATCTGTTCCCATCTCAGCCCTGTGCTAGGCAGGCAGGGAGACACTCCTATGCTGGGGATGGGGGAAGGGAAAACTCAGGGTGGGCGTCCTCCAGCTTAGTGGTCTTTGCAGCAAGCTCCAAGATCTACAAGTAGAGCTCATATTTCAAGTGACAAGGATGCCTGAACAGTTTATCAGTTTGCTGTTCAGCAGCCTGTAGGAGCGGACGGTGTTATTCAGTTTCAGAGATGAAATGGCAAGCCCCTCGATTGGAAAGGCAGGAGTCCCTGTCTTTTGTGCACTACCTGGCCTCAGCAGGGTCAACCTTCTCATCTGTCAAACATGAACTCATTAATCAGGGCATTCTTTCAGCTAATTTCTGAGCTCCTAGCACATGGCAGGGGCCAGAGAACAAGACCCTGCTTACAGGGGGAGCCAGACATTTGAAAGGACAGGGCAGCAGTGCAGGGATGAGGGTGGTCAGAGGTTTCTCTCAAGAGGGGCACTTAAGCTGAAGGCAGACCAGGGGGTGTTAAAATGTGCCAGGCAAAGAGAATGAGTAGAACAGGCCCAGAGACAAGACGAAGGATGACATATTGGAGAACAGACAAGGCTGTAATGCTGGAGCTCAAACATGAACGTGCGTGAGGGACCTGCAAAGCCCTAGACTTTTAGGAGCTATAGAAAGACTCAACCGTGATTAGACCATGGCCTAATCTAATTGGCCTCTTTACCTGCCTTCCTTGTGACAAGTACATAAAGGGGTCCAATACAGAGGGCAAGAGGCTAGTTAGGCGACCTGCCACTGCCCGTGTGTTTTGTTTTGTTTTGTTTTGTTTTGTTTGGCAAATGGGGGATGATGGGAGTACCATCAGGAGGAAAAACGAGTCTGCAGGGGAAAGGCGGTGGGCCCACCACTGTGGGCTGTGGGAGCCCAGTGGAGGTTTAGGTTATAGTAAACTCCATTCAGCCCCTCTGACAAAGCTAGAGAGAGCCAGTCTCAGGGACTGTTGTGCTGCCTGTGGAATAACCCCTCTCTTCTCTCCATCACTTTTAGGGAAACAGCTGCAAATGAACCTCTCAAAACCCACAGAGAATAAGGGAAGGCAGCAGAGGGGTCTCCATGGAGATCATCGGGTCTGCTGGCTCCCACACTGGGTTCTGCTGCTGCCCAGACCCCAGGGATGACTGGGTCAGGGTTGGGAGGCAGGGAGTACCCCAGTACTTGTGTGGTTGGGCCTCCTCTGCCCTTGCCCTTTCCTCCAGCAGCTCCAGGCATTGGGCCAGTAAAGTGTTTGCCTCTACCCTGATCTGGGTGCCTTAAGGAGAGAATGCTGCTCCTCCTCTCTCAGGGGTCAGTTTAGGAGAAGCCTCTGGGAAGGCCAGCAGTCCATTTTCTGTCTTGGCTTTTTCCTGTCCCTCTTCTCATCCCCCTGGGATGTGACCTGATAGAGATTTACCCCTCTGGGAGGAAGCCTGAGGTTGACTGGCTCTGGGATTTGTAAGGGAAGTCCATTTCCCTATAAGCCCTAGGTTTTCTGAGTTTGGTTTTGCTGTTGTTGGCAGGGAGCCAGGAATCTTGGCCTGGACATAGCCTTATACTCTGTGGTTACTTACTTGGCCAGTCAGGTATAAGACAGTGGGCAGCTGGCACCATCCAGACACGGAGGCACCAAACACCCACCTTCCTGGCCCATCCAGAGCTCTCCAGGTGTGAGCCAGATTATAGAACTTACCTTATCCTGAGCATCATACTCATATTCCTCTCAGTTCTTCTTGGAGGGAAACTGGATACCTGAGAGGCTGAGCCCAGGGGTGACTTCCCACCTCCACCCCCACCACTTAAGTGCCCATGGGGTTGTGGGTCTGTACCCTGCCCCCTCAGAGATTCTAGGCAGTTCCGTGCAGGGCAGCCCCACCCTGCCCTGCAGCCTCATCACTTCCCATCTTGACCTGGAACCCCAGGAGCTTCACCCCAACAGCCCAGGGACTCAGCTCCTCCCCACCAGCACCATCTGCACCCTTGAGTGGAGAGCCGCAGGCTAGGCAGGTGTGCCACTTCCCAAAGGATGGATGGCAAATGCCGGTTCCTGAAGGCAGTGCGGCCCTAGATCTGTCTCCCTCCTTGTACTTCCGCCTGCTTCTCTGTTCGATGTCACATTTCTATCTGGCAGCCTTTGCCTAGATTGTCTGCAGCAGAGGCGCGCTGGAAGTAGGACTGCACTGAACCCTTGCACAGGCACTTACTGCAGAGATACCGTCTGGCTGGCAGGATGACAGTTTTACTGCCCAGGTCCACCCACTGACATCACCACCACACAGAGTCAGGGTCTCCTGTTCCTCCCCAGGCTCAACTGAGGATGTGGCTTATTAAAGATGGAAGTACATCAGTTGTGTGGTTATTCAGACAGGACAAGGGTGTGCATGCAGAGGGGAAACTGTAGAGAGAAGGCCCCAGGGGCTGTTTCCCCTCGGCACCCAGAATTTAATGATTGCAATGTTGGGGAGTTGATGCCATCTTTGCCAAGGAGCAGCGCTAGGTGCCTGTCACAGGCACTGCGCCATTAGCTCTTACAGACCTGCCCCGCTCGCAGAGAGCCACTGAAAGCCTGCCTCAGAGGCCAGAAAGGCAAGCATTGGGCTGGCACCCCAAAAACCCTGTGGGCAAAGGGTAATGAAGCTAAACTCGGGCAAGCAAGAAGGAAGAAAGCTTGTTTAATATCTTTTAGGAGTCAGTGGAGTCCAGTAATGGGCCACAGGGGCGAAGGTCAGCCCAGGGTAAGGCAAGTCCAGGAGGAAGCCTAGCCTGCCCTACAACAGCCCTGAGGCTCAGAACAGGTGGTGAGCCTGGGATGGTGTGCTACTGGCATGGGGCCAACTTGAGAATGTGGAAGAGTGAGTCCATGCGCCCTCAGCCACTCCCGAGTTCACATACAGGCAGGGCAGCCCTCCTGGGCCAACCCTCTGTGACTCATTCCTGCCCAGGGAGAGGCAGCAGTTTGCATCCATGGAAAGTCAACTGGAGGAGGTGGCTGGTGCTGCCCCAGGTAATGACCCTTTGCAGCGTGAGAAGCTGTCGTGAGGTAGGTTGGACAGGCTTTAGCCTCCCAAAGGTGAGCCTTTGTGGCCCAGCCAGCACCTGGCAGAACGGAAGTGCCAGGACTGATGCTTCTCAGCCCTCCGGCAGGCAAGAGTGGAGTCCGAGAGGCCATGGGCTCAAACAGGCATTGGGTGAGCTGGTCCATCACAGAGAAACTGGTCTTGAAATTGAAGTGGCACAGGATGAAGTGGTGGGGCTCCCCTCAACTAGCCCCCTGCATCCTAGCCCCCCACCCTCCAGTGTGTTCTGCCTCAGCTTCCTGACTAACCCCTTGTAGAATGCCCTCCAGCAGAAGGCCTGGCCCCAAGCCATCCTCACTTGAGGGTATAATAGTTTGTGGGCACAAAGGGCATCTTGCTGACCACAGCCTTCTGCTGCTTCCGCCGCACCTCCACCAGTAGCGGGGTACCTGGCCGACTGTACTCCAGCGGCACGTAACCCATGGCCACATTCTTCTTCAGGCAGGGTGAGGGAGAGCCACTGGTCACAGTACCTGTCCAGGCAGAGGCCACGTGTCGGCACCGCCCTGACAGGCCAGTGCCCCACCCCCTGGGGAAGGGGCAAGAGCTCTCCAACCTCTCTGTCCTACCTACCAATCACGGTGCCCTCCATACTCAGGATGGGGCTTTGTGCCCGCATGGGAGCCCCCTCACACGTTAGCCCCACACGCCTCCGCTGCACCTTGCCCTTCAGCTGGGAAGTGATGACCGCAGCTCCAGGGAAGTCCATGGCAGCTCGGCGGCGCTTCCCTGGAGCGTGACACACCCAACTTAAGCCACAGGCCATGGACCCCTGGCCACAGGAGATCCTAATCTACAAGGGCCCCAAGTGACATCCATCCACATCGAGGCCCCTTCACTCAAACTCCCATAGGCCCTGTTCCTCCCTTGCCATGTGGCCAGTTGGCCACCCACCTCCTGCCCCCTGGTCTTGGAGGCCATGCTGCCCATCTCAGCCTGCTGAGGGTCCTCAGCATCTGATGGGCAAAGCCACCGTGGCACCTTCAGGGAATGGAGGCTTGGGATGGCTGAGTCGCTGGCTCCAGGCTATACAACCTTGGGGGCAGTCACAGGCCGGCAGGTCTCATGAAGGGCCACCCCAGCCTTCCAGATGCCATCCCTGAGTGGCAATCCAACTCACCCAGTGTCCAGCTGAGGCTGCCTTCCACAGGTGTGGTGTGCTCATCAATGTCACTCCCGTACAGACAGAGGCCAGCCTCTAGGCGCAGGCTATCCCGGGCCGCGAGCCCTGCCAGCTTCACCTCTGGGTTTTCTAGCAGAGCTGTTGCCAGGCGGACTGCCCCTGCTGCTGGCACAGAGATCTGCGTGGGACAGCCGGGACTGGGTGGGATGCTGGCCCGAGTCCTGCGCCCTGCACGACCACCCTGCCCCCACTTGTTGACATACCTCCACACCATCCTCTCCGGTGTAGCCACAGCGGGTCACGCGGCATCTGGACACGCCAAACACCTCCATCACAGCACTGGTCATGAAGGGCAGTTTCCTTAGGTCGTCTGCCACGCCGGCCTGGAGCACCTGGGCTGCAGTGGGACCTGGGCCCAGGGAGCCAGTGACCAAGTGTCCAGGTCCCAGAGCCCCTCAAAGCTGGACTGTAGCCCTTACTCAGGGACCAGAACAAGTCCTGAGCAAGTCCTCCACTGCAGGTGGGAGTGGATGCTCTTGCTCAGCCCATGGAGTTTTGGGACCAGTCGGGGAAAGGCATGACACCCGGCTTACGATATGGCATACAAGTCACACCATTCACACCTTCCTCCTGGTACAGCCTCTGCTAGGCCGTCGAAGAAGCCAAGAAGGCCAAGGTCAGCTCCAACCCCAGCCTGGCTGCTCACCTTGCAGGGCTAGCAGGGCATTATCCACCACCTCCAGGCCCACATCACTGCCCATGTTTTGAAGCTCCCTGGCCTTGTCCTAAATGCAAAGACAGAAACACATTGGCTTCTGGGACCATTCCCAGGTGCTGCAGAGCTGGGTAGAGCAGGCTGGCTCTCATCTTACAAGGCCCTGTGACTAAGTGGTGGGGATGACCCAAACCCATGTCAGCCAGTTCTAATACCAGGCTCTAGCCCTCCACCCTCACCAGAGGATGCTCACCCAGGGCCCGAGGTCAGCTTCACCTCCCCACCTCCCTCACCCCTCTCCCAGTGAAGCCTGGCATGCTCCAGGGAGGGTCACTCTGGCCTGTTGTTCACTTACCCAAAAGAGCTATTGTCTGAGCCCCTTCCCCAGGTCTGTCCTGGACAGCAAGGACATTGCTCTGTGAATACGGAAGACAGGGTACCTAGAACACAGAGGGGCTGTACCTGCATGAGGGCCAAGTCCTTGTCCCAGCAGCCAGCATTGGACACCACATACAGGTGCCCCTCAGAAGTGTTGGTCACAATCAAGTCATCTAAGATGCCCCCAGCTTCGTTGGTAAACAGCGACAGTGTCCCCTAGCAACAAAGTGGGGCAATTTTGCATCCATGTCCAGAAGGCCAACACCAAGTGTGAGTCAGAAACACCCTTGAGCCCACTTGGCCTCCACAAGGTCATGAACTCTTATGCACAGGGCTGGGGGGGCGGGCAGTGCAAGGAACAAGGCTGGGTCACCCCAGGTGCCTGCCCAAGCCCATGGTGTTTGACCTTCATGTAGTGAGAATGTTTTCAACCCTCCCCCACCTTGGGGGACCTCCCTGAACGTGTAGGGTGCCAGCACCCCTCTCCACTGAGCACTGAGAGCCCCATCTCACACGTGTATCCAAGATACCTGGGACTGACTGCTTTATTGCACCCAAACCCAGGACAACTCAGGCCATGCTCTAAGCCCAGGACAGAGAGCTTCAAAGTCCACCTTGATGACTTCAAGTGCTCCGCAGCAGCCATGCCTCAAAACACTGTGAGGCTAGCCTCTCTGATGAACAAAGAGCCTGAGGTTGAGGTCATGTGAGTCACCTGGGGATCTTTTTAAAATATAGCTTCTGATTCAACAGGCCTGGAGCAGAGCCCCAGAGTGTATTCCTAACAAGCTCCTAGGTCATGATGAGTCTCCTGGGTTAGGGACTACACTTTGAATTGCAAGGGGAAGATCGCAGAAAAGGACATGGACGGGGGTTTCTGGACACGACTTAGGATCTCAAGCCCCAAGACTGCAAAGTTGCGTCTGATCCATCACTGTGCTTGCTCCCAAGTCGGGGCTGAGCCCATTGGCTGGCTCACGACTAAGAACACTCGATCGAGGGAAAAGAAGAAGGGCCCACCTGGTTTGGCCTTAGCTCTGCAATGTCTCCAACCACTAGACTCTCCATCAGCTTCACCCGGTCACAGCCATATATCTTGGTCTGAGAAAAAGATCAAAAGCCTAAGGACACTGCGACAGTTCTGATCTGGAAGCCAACTGGTCAAGGAGGCATCCTTCCTGACACGCATGGCACAGTCCAACCCAGCCAAAGTGACAGGTTTGCGGCTCTGCAGGGGGCAAAGACTCCACCTTCTGGTTCCCCCACATCTGCCAATACAGGAGGGGGGTGTCATGAGGGAAGGTAGGGAATTTGGAAGGGCCCATCACCTTCCTGAAATAACCCCTTTTCCCAACCGGTGCCCAGGACGGTGGGTGGAAATGGGTGCCAGCCCTGGAAAACGCAGCGCGTTGAGGTAGACCACTGAGTTGGAGGAGCAGGCTGGAGAGGTTGGGGAGGAGCCGCTGGCAGAGCCTCAGAATTCATTGCCTGCAGGCCACAGTCTGTGACACTCCTGAGACCTCCCGCTCTTCTGAGACAGCGGCCCTTGGCATCCAGCTCCCAGGGAACCAAGCCGAAGGCGGCACCACTGCGGACAGGGAGGAAGCCCTGGAGCCCGCAGCGCTCCCCCGGCTCACCTGCAGCATGTGGGACACGTCGAAGAGCGAGCAGTGCCGGCGCGTGTGTAGGTGTGAGTCAACGTGGCTGTCCCGGTACTGCACGGGCAGGCTCCAGCCCGAGAACGCTACCATCTTCCCACCATGGGCCAGGTGGAAGTCATAGAGCGGTGTCCTACGGAGCGCGTCCTGCGGGCGGCCGGGCTCAGCGCCACCGGGACCCCAGCCCCAACCTTCCCCCACCATCCAGGACTTACGCCATACCCCAGCACCCTCTGTCCCACCTGTGCGCCACTGAGCGGACGGCCCAGGACCAAGGGAAGCGCCTGCCCACGCAAGCCCAGGAGGGCCACCAAGCTCACTGCCCGCTGCATTGTGGCCTGCGGCCGGTGCAGCCCGTGCAGCCGACGCACAGGGGCTACCACTCTCTCAGGC